TAATCCCAAGTTCTAATTTGATTGCACTCTGGTCTGAAAGACTGGTTGTTATGATTTCTGTTCTTTTGCGTTTGCTGAGGAGTGATTTACTTCCAATTATGTGGTCAATTTTAGAGCAAGTGCAATGTGGGCAATGTGGTGCTGAGAAGAATGTATATTCTGTGGATTTATGGTGGAGAGTTCTGTAGATGTGTATTAGGTTCACTCGGTCGAGATCTGCCTTCGAGTCCTGGATATCATTGCTAATTTTCTGCCTTGTTAATCTGGCTAATATTGACAGTGGGGTGTTAAAGTCTCCCACTATTATTGTGTGGGAGTCTAAGTCTTTGTTAAGTCATTAAGAACTTACTTTATGTATCTGGGTGCTCTTGTATTGGGTGCATATATATGTAGGATAGTTAGCTCTTCTTGTTGTGGTGATCCTTTTACCATCATGTAATGCCCTTCTTTGCCTCTTTTGATCTTTGTTGGTTTAAAGTCCATTTTATCAAAGACTAGGATTGCAATCCCTGCTTTTTTTGCTCTCCATTTGATTGGTAAATCTTCTTCCATCCCTTTATTTTGAGTCTGTGTATGTCATTGTACATGAGATAGGTCTTCTGAATACAGCACGCTGGTGGGTCTTGACTTTTTATCCAGTTTGTCAGTCTGTGTCTTTTGATTGGGGCATTTAGCCCATTTACATTTAAGGTTAATATTGTTATGTGTGAATCTAATCCTGCCATTTTGATACAAGGTGGTTGTTTTGCCCGTTAGTTGACACAGTTTCTTCATTGTGTTGATGGTCTTTACTATTTGATACGTTTTTGTAGTGGCTGGGACTAGTTGTTCCTTTCCATGTTTAGTGCCTTTTTCAGGAGCTCTTGTAAGGCAGGACTGGTGGTGATGAAATCTCTCAGCAATTGCTTGTTCATAAAAGATTTTATTTCTCCTTCACTTATAAAGCTTAGTTTGGCTGCATATGAAATTCTGGGTTGAAATTTCTTTTTTTAAGGGTGTTCAATATTGGCCCCCACTCTTCTTCTGGCTTATAGGGTTTCTGCCAAGAGATCCACTGTAAGTCTGATGGGCCTCCCTTTGTGGGTAAACGGACCTTTCTCTCTGGCTGCCCTTAGCATTTTTTCATTTACTTCAACCCTGGTTAATCTGATGATCATGTGCCTTGGGGTTGCTCTTCTTGAGGAATATCTTTGTGGTGTTCTCTGTACTTCCTGTATTTGAATGTTGTCCTGCCTTGCTAGATTGGGGAAGTTCTCCTAGATACTTTCCTGAAGAATGTTTCACAGGTTGGATTCATTCTCCTTGTCACATTCAGGTACAACAATCAAATGTAGATTAGGTCTTTTTGCATAATCCCAGATTTCTTGGAGACTTTGTTCTTTTCTTTTCACTTTTTTTCTTTAATCTTGCCTTCTTGTTTTATTTCATTGAGTTTATCTTCAGTCTCTGATATCCTTTCTTCTGCTTGATGGATTTAGCTATTGAAAGTTGTGTATGCTTCACAAAGTTCTCATACTGTGTTTTTCAGCTCCATCAAGTCATGTATGTTCTTTTCTAAGCTGGCTATTCTAGACAGCATTTCATCTAACCTTTTTTCAAAGTCCTTAGTTTCTTTGTGTTGCGTTAGAACATGTTCCTTTAGCTCAGAGAATTTTGTTATTACCCACCTTCTGAAGCCTGCTTCTGTCAATTTGTCAAACTCATTCTCCATCCAGTTTTGTTCCCTTGCTGGTGAAGAGTTGTGATGCCTTGGAGGAGAAGAGGCATTCTGGTTTGTGGTAATTTCATCCTTTCTGCGCTGGTTTCTTCCCATCTTCACGGATTTATCTACCTTTGGTCTTTGAAGTTGGTAATTTTCGGATGAGGTCTCTCTGAGTGAACATCCTTTCTGTTGGTGTTGAAGCCATTTCTTTCTGTTTTTTAGTTTCCTTCTAACAGTCAGGCCCCTCTGCTGCAGGACTGCTGGAGGTCCAGTCCAGACCCTGCTTACCTGGGAATCACTCACAGGGGTTGCAGAAGAGCAAGGATTGCTGCCTGTTCCTTCCTCTGGTAGCTTTGTACCAGAAGGGTACCCACCAGATGTCAGCCAGAGCTCTCCAGTATTAGGTGTCTCTTTGGATATATGGGGGTCAGGGAGCTGCTTGAGGAGGCAGCCTGTCCCTTATCAGACCTCAAGTGCTAAGTTCAGAGCTCCATAGCTCCCTTCAGAGCTGCTGGGCAGGGACGTTTAAGTCTGGTCCAGTGGAGCTCACACCTGCCCCTTTTCCCAGGTGCTCTATCCCAGGAAGGTGGGGCTTTATTTATAAGTCCCTGACAGGATGCTACCTTTTTTTAGGGATGCCCTGCACAGCAAGGAGGGAGTCTAGTCACAGTCTGCCTGCAGAGGCATTGCTGAGCTGCCACGGGCTCTGCCCAGATGCTGCTTAAACTTCCTTGTGATTTTGTTTACACAGGTAAGGTTAGAACTGCCTTCCTAATGGCAGACTGCCTCGGTAATGGCAGAATGCCTCAGTAATGGTGGACTGCCTCGGTAATGGCAGATGTGCTTCCCCCCATCAAGCTCAAACATCCAAGGTCAAACTGCTGTGCTGGCTGCATAATTCTCAAGCCAGTGAGTTTCAGTTTGCTGGTCTTTGTGGGGGTGGGACTCACAGAGCCAGAACACTTGGCTCCCTGCCTTCAGCCCCGTTTTTCTTCAGGCTCTGTCTCACAGGCATTCCAGGCACCAGTTAAAATGGCCGCCCAGATTTGTGCTGGAAACCTGAAGTGCCAGCTGAAACAGTTGCCCAGATTTGTGCTGGAAACCCACAGTACTTGTAGGCGTGGCAAGAATCTCCTGGTCTGTGGGCTGTAAAGACCATGGGAGAAGTGCAGTATTTGAACCAGAGTGCCAGAGGGGCCAGAAAAGTCCCTAATGTCCTCCATTGGGTAGGGTGGGTTTTTTGGCCCATTGCACTTCCTGGATGAGGCAGCACCCTGCTCTGCCTCGGTTTGCCCTCCTTCGGCTACACCCACTGTCCAACCAGTTCCATTGAGATTAACCTGGTACCTTGGTTGGAAATGTGAAGATCACTCACCTTCTATGTCACTCTAGCTGGGAACTGCACTCCAGAGCTGTTCCTATTTGGCCATCTTGGTGGCAGTCATAATTGCCTATTTTGGACATTTCCTATCAATAGTATTATTTTATGACTGGCTTCCTTTACTTATTTTAATGTTTTCAAAGTTGATTCATGTTGTAGCATGTATCAGAATTTCATTCTTTTTCTGGCTGAATAATATTCCATTGTAGGGATACACAGTAGACTTTTCTTATCTGGAGGGAATATGTTCCAAGCCTCCAAGTGGATGCCTGAAACCTCAATAGTACCGAACCCAATTGCCATCAGTCAGAACATTTTTCTATTGATGTCTTCTACCCACAAATTTAATAGCACTTCCACCTTAGCTAAGCACTTAACAGGCACTGTGGCCATAACTTTTGCAGTTTGAGGTGTGACAGCAAAACTAGCAGAAATTTCTTCTTCCTTCTTCACAGTTTCACAGATAGAAGATTCATTCTTCTCATAAATCTTAGCAATCTCAGCATACAACTTTTTTCTTTCTGTATCAAGTCAATGGTACCTTTTACCTTTTCAGTTAGAAGAGGCACTTGATGGATTCTCTTTGGTATATCTGAATCAGCATCACTGCTATTGCGTTTTGGAGCCATTATTAAGTAAAATAGATGACTTGAAAATAAGCACTGTGATGCCTGAGACAACTACTAAGTGACTAGCAGGCAGGTAACATATAGTGTGGAGACGCTAGACAAAGTGATGATTCACATCCCAGGCAGTAGAGATTGGGATGACACCAGATTTCATTACAATCAGAATGGTATGCAATTTGAAATGTATGAATTGCTTATTTCTGGAATTTTCCATTTAATATATTCAGACTGACGTTTACACAGGTAACTGCAGCCATAGAGAGCAAAATCACAGATAAGGGGGCACTGCTTGCCACATTTTGTTTATCCATTCACCAATTGATAGACATGTTGTTTTCATCTTTTGTCTATTGTTAATAAACCTGCTATTAATCTCCATGTACAACTCTTTTGTGTGTACATGTTTTCATTTCTCTTGGCTGTATATCAAGGAATTGAATTACTGGATCATTCATTTTGAGAAATTGCCAAACTGTTTTCCAAAGCAGTTGTTCCATTTATAATTCTATGAGCAGTTATGAAGGTTCTCTTCACATCAGTGTCAGCACTTGTTATTGTCTGTATTTTAGTCATCCTAAATAGCCATCCTTAACCATGGGGAGTGAAGTGGTATCTCATTATTGTTTGATTTGCATTTCTTTGTTGACAAATGATGTTGAACATCTTTTTATATGCTTATTATCTTTTTGTATACTTTGGAGAAATGTCTATTCAGATCTTTTAATCATTTTTAATTGGGTCAGTCTTCTTTTTATTGTTCAGTTATAAGAGTTCTTTATCTATTTTGTATACAAGTCCTTTATGAAATCAGTGATTTGAAGACATTTTCTCCTATTCTGGAGGCTGTCTTTTCCTTGATGATGTACCTTAAAACACAAAAGTCTTATATTTTGATGTCCTATATTTTTTTCTTTTGTTGCTTGTGCTTCTGTGTTACATCTAAGAAACTATTGTCTAATCCAATGTCACAAATATTTACTCCTATGTTTTTTTCCTAAAATTTTTAAAGTTTTAGCTCTTACATTTAGGTCTATGACTCATCTGAGTTAATTTTTATTATGTGGTGTGAGAAAGAGATTCCCCAACTAATGGCTGCGAGCCAACTTGCGCTATCTCTCAGCTTCAGGACTCTTCTTCCTGGTGGCCAGCCAGCTTTTTTTCCTGTTAGTTTCCTATTGCACACAAAGGGCTTTTTCTCACTACTAACACTAAATCTCTTTTGCATAACTTTGTCAAAATATGACTCAACTAAAACCTGATGACCTTGGGTTTTTTGTTTTGTTTTCAGAGAAATAGAAGACAAACCCCTGGAGCTGATTGGTGCTGCAGTGCATCCTTCCAACTTGGAAGAGAAATGGTAATAACACAGCTTACTGCTGCCACCTGCCGTCAAGCATGGTTCAGACAATAACTGGTGGCCCCAGAAGTTAGTTGCCAGGCTTAGCAAACAAAAATTTAGGAATTGGGTAGGCAGTAGGAGTGAGTAAAAGGCGCTGGTTAGGAACTATGTTGAATTGGCTAGCACCAGCCCAAATAAAGTAAGCAATAGTACCTTACCTTTAAAGAATTCAACTTTCAGTCTGTGTCATTATCTTTTTGTATACTTTGGAGAAATGTCTATTCAGATCTTTTAATCAGCAAAGGAACACTGATCCAGTAAGGACAGATCTTGAGGTTCCTGGTGTGTGTGTTTTTTTTTAAGATAATCCAGAAATCTAGATTTTTTAAAAGTCAGCTTTCCTAATTTTTAACTGACAATTTAAAAATATGTAAGGATACTCAGACCAAGCAAAGCAAATCTCTAGGATAACAGTTTGCAACATCTCTTTCTCCTGCAACAGTCCCAAGGACTGTTTTAATAAATATGGGATTCAAAATTAAAAGCTACTTGCTCTGATGAAGTTCAAGTGACATTAGTGATGGCCCAGGATCTTCAGTCTGTCTGACTCAGCAATCTGAAGACCCAGGCTTCCTTTTGGGCAGGGACCAAGTCTTCTGCACCTTTGTATCTCCATGAGTGAGTATATTTCCCAGGAGAAGCTGGTGCTCAATCAACACAAGATAAGTAAACAGGTTTGTGCTTTGGCCCTGCCACAGCACAGCTATATGAACTTGGGTAAATCAGTTAGCTTCTTTGGGTGTTCATTTCATCATCTATAAAATGAGAATTATGAGTCTCTACTTTGGTGAAAGTGGTCTTTTTTCAAAGGTGACTGAATAATGAAATGTTTACGTTCTCCAAGAAGAGGTTTTTGAGCATACACTGCATTAACTGCAGCCCAGAGATCCTCAGATTTCAAGAAACCCAATGCCATGCTAAAAAGAACTCTTATGAAAATCAGCCTCAGAATAATTTGACACAGACTGAAAGTTGAAGTGTTTCAAATTGAACATAAATTAGGGTAAATTGGATGATTAAGGCTAAGTCCACAACTTTGCCTTCATTCACTATTCAAAACCCTCTGCCTAATTAATATGATAAAATGTGAACATTTTTGATATTTAAAATGCCATAAATTGTGGCAATTGTGAGGGGCAAGTGTCAAGATGGAAAGATGAGTGAGTTGTAAACCAGATGCAATGTCCTCCAAAATTACCACACTCATGTTGCTGCGGAGCCTTGTTAAAATACGAATTCCCAGGCACCAAGCCTCAAAATTATGATTTAGTAGGTCGGGGTGGATAGAATTTGTTTTATCCGTATTTCCCAAGGCCCCCTGATTCATATGATCAGGCAAGTTTAGGAAACTCTGAAAAGGACTTGATTTCTCATCTTGAGTCTAGGCTAGTAACATAAATTTATAGAAGTTCTCTCAGTTTCCTTGTCTGTAATAAAATGCGAATCTGAATTATCAGATTTAGCTTTGATTACCATGTTTTAAGTTTCCTTTAAGATCTAAAAAATCTATATACTGTGTTCATAAATCACATATCTGAAAAAATACTAGCACACTCATTCCCTCATCCCTTTTATTCCTACTATTTCAGAAGCCTCACATCTCTAAAAAAGGAAATCCCATTTTGATCAGTGTCATGTTCTTGAAGACCTCTATTTAGACTTTTAATATTTTTTTCAGAAAGACTGTACATTCAGAAAGTATAGTCCTAACTCCAGACATAAACTGGCAAGATTAAAGAAAATGACATTTATTAGACAACTTTAAACTTGTATTTTATTACTAAACCATAGACAATAAAGAATATTACTGGTTACATTAAAAATTTTTTATTTTGTAAATATATTACATAATGTGGAAATTTTGACTGTGACAGAAGTTTCAGTATGTTAAATATAAACATTTTAAGCATCTCATAATGTTAAGACCATGTTTTGACATGTTTTTATTATTTTCTTTTAATATACCATGAGCTTATAAAATAACAGTGATGAGCTAGGCATATTTGGAACTCCAAGAGTCTCTCTATCCAGTTAGATACTGGAAACTTTCTTCCTCTTATCCAAAGCTAATTGTTTCACTCATGCTCTTATCCCATTACTTCTAGGACCCTTATCCAAGATTTATCGCAGTGTCTCCTTTTTTAGGATCTCACCTATATAACTTTTTCTTCTTGATCTTTTTCAAGCAATCCTCTTTCTCCTCCAGTCCTCTAACTGGGGTTTTCCCAAGGATTCAGTTATAGCCAGTGCTCACAAACTCAGGTTCTCACAGAGCCAGGCAGTAGACATAAATGACTCAGCATTGCATCTGCTGGTGGTTTCTACTCATATGTCTCACCTTCATTTAATACATGTACAAAGAAACTCAGCAACTTTTTTTTTTTTTTTTTTTTTTTTTGAAATGGAGTTTAGCTCTTGTTATCAGGCTGGAGTGCAATGGCCCGATCTCGGTTCACCACAACCTCCGCCTCCTGGGTTCAAGCAATTCTCTGCCTCAGCCTCCCTAGTAGCTGGGACTACAGGGGTATGCCACCATGCCCAGCTAAATTTTTTTGTATTTTTAGTAGAGACGGGATTTCACCATGTTGACCAGGATAGTCTCGATCTCTTGACCTCGTCATCTACCCGCCTCGACCTCCCAAAGTGCTGGGATTATAGGCATGAACCACCATGCCCGGCCGCCCAGCAACTTCTTTTGAAGCAGTTCTCACTCCACTCCTGCTTTATATATATTTTTTGTCAATGACATAATAATTATCCTAATCCATCAGTCTAGGATGACTGAAGAGTCCTGATAGAATAGTCAGTAAAGGGTTGAGCTAGTGACATCAGCATGATAGTGATACTGCCACAGATCTAGTCAGGATCCAGGATGAGGCAGGAAACAACCGTCATAGTAATGGGCAATATCAGGTCCGTGTAAGTCATGGCAGCAAAGCATGATTACGTGGGATTTAGGTAAGTTATATAATACTAAAAAGGTGCCCCAAAGCCAGGGGAGGCTCAAGCATGTCTGTTAATTAGCACCAAGAAAAGCTCTAAGGAAATAGTTGCTTCAACTAAGTTATGCAGTTATATTTCAATTAGGGCAGTTCAGGACTGCTGGCTCACTTAAATCCCAGAGAAGGACCCTTCAGTGAATGATTATGACTTTTCTGGTCATGAACTCCTTTGAGAATCTGACGAAAGCTGTAGAATATAAAAATACAGATATTAATGTATTCATAAATTATTATTTGGAGTTGTAGACGTTTTATGAATCACTTGATCCTATTCATAGACCCCAAACTAAAAACCTCTGCCACAGGCCTTAAAAGACCTTGGCTAAATAGAGCAATGCTGAATCTCCTTGGGAGTAGGAAGAGTCGAGGAAGGAATACTCCTTGCTTAGATGACTGAGCTTACTATCACAAGTTCCTATGTCTTCCATGTTCTCTCTCCTGATAGATTCTGTTAAGGTGGACTGCCAAATATATTAAGGGAAACCCTCATGCCTGGTATTTTCAAGTTTTCTCTTTGGCGAATATTATTAATTGACCATAAATCTTATGATTTATGTACGAACTCTCAATTCTACTTCATATGGTCTATATGTCTATTGTCATGTCAGTACCATGCTATCTTGATTACTGTAGCTTTGTAGTAAGCCTTGAAATCAAGAAGTATGAGTCCTACGATTTTGTTTTTCTTTCTTAGAAGTGTTTTAACTAATTTGGTCCCTTGTATTTTCATATAAATTTTAGGTTCAGCTTGTCAATTTCTGTTTTTAAAAAAAGGGGGCAGATGTGATTTTCATAGGGATGTGTACAATCCATAGATCAGTTTGGGGAGTACTACCATCTTAGCAATATTAAACCTCCCAACCTATAAACATGGGCTGTCTTTCCATTTATTTAGATCTTTCTCTAATTTCTTTCAATGATGTGTTGTTGCTTTCTGTGTACACATCTTGAACTTTTGTCAAATTTATTTCTAAGTGTTTCATTCCTTTTCACGCTGTTATAAATGGAATTGTTTTCTTTATTTTTCTCTTGAATTGTTCATTACTAATCTATGGAAGCACAATTTATTTTTATATTTTGGCTTTTATTCTAAAACCTTTCTGAACTCACTTATTAGTTTTAATAGTTTTTTAAATAAATGTTATTGCTTATATTTGAGGTATGAAACATGATGTTATGGGATATGGATAGACAGAAAAACAGTTATTATAGTGAAGCAAATTAACATACCTATCATCTCATGTAGTTACTCTTATGTTTGTGTGACAAGAGCAACTAAAATCTATTTATTTAATAAAAACTCTAATACAATACAATTTTATTAACTATAGTTTTTATGTTGTATATTCACTATCTCAAGTTGTTCATCCTACATGTCTGCTACTTTGTATCCTTTTAATTATATCTCCCCACCTCTGGTAACCACTGTTTTATTCTCTATCACTATATATTTGACCTTTTAAAAAAAGATTTCACATATAAGTGAGATTACGCAATATTTTTTCTTTCTATGTCTGGCTTCTTTCACTTAGCATAATGTACTCCAGTACCATCCATATTGTAGCAAATGGCAGAGTCTCTTTTTTATGGCTGAATAGTACTCCATTGTGTATGTGTACCACATTTTCTTTGCTCATTTATCTATTGATAGACACTTAGGTTGTTTCCATATTTTGGCTATTACAAAAGATGCTGCAATGAACATGAAAGTGTAGATATCTTTCTGATGTGATGGTTTTTTTTTTACTGTAACCAAATGTGTGATTTATTTTTGGAAGAAAATAATTAAAACTGAGCCATTTTCCAATAAAGGGGAAAAAATAACAATAACAGATCATACCCTGGTTTCAAGCTAATTACCACATCCAATACAATGTGGATGTGCTCAACATGTATTCAACGATATAATAATGAACATTTGCAATTTTAAAATCCCAATTCACTTGCCAACATTGT